CAAATTTTGGCCATTTAAGCTGGGAGAACAGAAAATTGGCCCTAACTTTTCAAGAAAGAGCCGTGGGCACAAATCCTTTTAGGGTTTTTACTATCTCGATGCCCTCTATCAAACAGCCTATGAATGAAGGGAATCGGCGTTGAGCACCTCGGGCGGTTCCCTCGTCAGATTTTAGCGCGAACTGATTCCGCTGAGAACCACAGAATATATGGATAGTTTACAGACTTTTAATCAAATCTGAATTCAATTCAAACATGCATAATCTAGTTTAATAAATTAGAACAAGAAAATAAATAAAATAATTTTATTAGTATTGCAGATGATTTAAATATAGCAGAATTTATATATAGTGAAAGTGAAAACTAGAAAAATCGAATATTTCTTTTCAATTAACTGTCATTATGTAAATATTCAAGTACGAATGAAAGTTTGTTTTTGCCAAAAATTTATATCATCGTACATATCATGCCTGGAAAGAAAAGCGTTTGAATGCAAAAGTACATTTATCACATTAAAAAGAAGAACAATCAAAACGAAACAATTTGATAAAGTTTTTCTATCTATAGCTATGATCTATAGCTACATCTATAGCTTTGATCATTTACTTTTTATTACATAATATCTATTTTTTCTACTTGTATTCGAACATTATCGATTGGATGACCGTGAGTCAAGACCGGTACATTATGAGCCGTTATAAATCTTGTTTTACCATCGGCCACAATTCGAACACGTAATGCATAGTATGACGTGAATTCAACATCTGTTTCATCATATTCAACAGAAAATTTAATGGGAAATGTGTGAATATTTTCGTCTAATATCGATTTGGCAATTGTGTGAAATTTTCTAACATAAGATCCATCTTGTGATGCTATGTCTGAAGAACAAAAAATAATAACAATAATAATAAGAAAATTCCAAGTTTTCTAATCTATCGTTACCTGTCAATGTCATATCATCGAGATAAATTAATATTTTGTGATCATCATGTAATATCTCATTATGTTTATCATAATCAATTATACCGTGAATATATTTTACCATATTTCACAATTTTAGATAAATTTTTGATTTCTAGAAAAAATATAGTAATTGTACAAAATTTTAACAAATAGAAATAGAATATTAAGAACTTAGATTGTATCTAGCCATTGAAATATTTTTTTTCTCATATTCTTAAAATAGAATATGAAAATTGGCAATCAAAATAGCCATATAGTGATATGTTCATCAAAGTCTAAAGAATTAAAATAATGAAGAAAAATCTAGTTTACTGTATAGGGGGCGGGGCATTTTTGAATGTGTTTCTATTGATGATTCTCTAACATCTTAATAAATGGTCGCTTGAAAAATCAATGCGATGGTAAGAGGCAGGTTAAAGGCTTGATCTCACTTGCCACCAAAAACTATTCGAGAGTTTTTTTTCGAACTTCAATAAAGTATTTATTGTATCTATTCGAGAGTTAGACTATGATGATTATTCATTGAATATCTCTCGATTTTTTCTTTTCAATTCCTCACTACCCACTGAAAAAAAAGACGTGACCACACAAGTTCACGCGTGAAAACTTCGAAATCTATGCATAAATTCTTGACTCCGCGCGTGAATTCGTTAAATTTATTTCAATTCATTTGTACGGTAAATTCACGAAATTAATCACTAATTTAGCCGTGAAAATTCCATGCATGAAATGGTATGAATTAATTATTTATGTGTGAAAATGAATTTCACGTTACCTTTGTATGCCTATCCTTATCTACACACTCACTTGTACTTATTTTTCTCGCCTGATTCACGAAAAGTCTTGGGTTTTCATAGGTTTGAACTAGAGTACCTTCAATTGCTTGTCCAACGTTTTCCCATGTGAAGCCATATCGCATGTTTTACAGAGTAAAAGTGATATTTATATTGATGAAAAAGTCAATTTTGCCGTTTTCCAGTATATTTACACCATTTTCAATACTTCAAGACTGAATTAACTAATCAAACAATGTTTATGATCCAAGGGTAGGCAAAAATCATTAGCTAATTAATTATTTTTCACGAGTAAAAATCAAAATTACACGTGAATGTCATATTGGTAAAGATTGTGCAACCCGATCCGACCCGAAAGTTGGGTACGGGTTGGATTTTTTAAATTTTACCCTAAGGAAACTGATAATTCTGTAAGAAGGCATAAATTAGATAAGAAATCTATAACTGCTACTCTCTAAAAACAATAGGTTTATTACAAAATCTAAAAGGGTATAGAGAAGTGGGGGGGGGGGGGGGGGGGGGGGGGGGGGGTGGGGGGGGGGGGGGGGGGGGTGGGGGGGGGGGGGGGGTGGGGGGGGGGGGGGGGGGGGGGGGGGGGGGGGGGGGGGGGGGGGGGGGGGGGG